TAATGACGATGGCTTTTTCAAGCATCATAGGCTTGAGAATACCTTCTCTAGATGTAAAGGTTAGTGCCCAGCAGCTATGAGCTTAAGTGATCATCTTTTGATGGTTAAAGAGGTGAACTTAGTCAATTTACCATTTTTTTTAGTATAAAATCAGTTAGGAGTGAGAAGTGTTGATTGATGAAGTAAAGAAATTTGCTGGTACATCTTGCTGCAATAGGAATTTGGGTTAAAAACTTGGATATAAAATGAAATTTCTCTGAGAATGGTTGGACTAGAGAGAAAATTCCCTCATAATCTAGTGCCTTTGTGTATACTGTGTAAAAAAATTCCTTTTTGAGTTCCAAAGACCACTTGGGCATAAAAGGGATAATTTTCTTAAGTTTAATGGAATTTCTCAGGATTTAAGCAACAAGTATTTGCATTGAAGATAAAAAAAAGATGATTCAGATGTGAAGCAGTAGTTCTCATAAATTCTAGTCTGTCTGAACGAAAAGCAAAATTTCTTTATGTACTAAGTCTATGAGACATAAATGAAAAATCTCTTTGGTTTAGAGCTCTTTCTTAGTATTTATCATCTTATTCCCTCCAAATCCAAGGCCAAGTGGCTTTTTATAGATTTGGAAAGTGTTATTTTTGTCCTTCTATAGTAATTGATATTGGACAAATTGGATTATTTTTGTGTTCAAGGATATATATATATATATATATATATATTTGCCCTCACTCCACCCAAAACTCACTACGTTTTGACTAGTTTCTAGTTTTAATTGATACAAGAGATTATAAATTAAAATAAAGTTGATAGTTAATACAGTACTTTAGTCGGAAGGAAAGAAAACTCATCTATATGCTGACTTTTCTTGCTCATTATATCTAAGTATATATAGGGCTGAGAACACTATTATGCATAAACACATGATAACCAAGGATATGAAAGATCTTTCTTTAATGGAAATAGAAGTCTTAAAGGTTGTTAGGGTGCAACTTTCTTAATCTTCTCAAGATAAGACTCAATAGTAATTCATTAGCATCATCAACCTTGAAGGGATCTACCATAACTTTGTCATCCAGAATTTTATGAAGTTCCTCATTCTTTGATTGTGGTTCATTATTATCATTAAGTATTGAAGTGGAGTGTATGGAATCTTTATTAGTTACAAGGACATAGTTTTGATGACTAAGATTTATTAGATGTTCATTTGATTGAATATGAGACTTGATGTTGACTGTAGTAGGCTTATATTTAGTGATGTTAATCTTGATGCTAGCAGAGATGTTTTTAGTTCTTCTTTGACCTTGAATTATACAGTGATGATAATCTTCTTCACACCTAGGATTATTCTTTTGACAAAAATAATAGCTGGACCTAAAATTATAATTTTGGGAAAGAGACCGAGATGAATACCTATTAAACCTCTAACTACACTCTTGGAAAAGAGATTGAGATGTGCAGCTTGAAAACATACATAGGGAACTTCAATTATATTGAGGATTTGGCACATTACTAATTAATTTAGAATATGTCTCATTTGGATAGGAATAGCCATTTTAATACGTCATTGGGATGAAAAATGACAGGTCTCAAATTTTAGATATCTAGCATTTTGTAAATTGGGCTTCCGAATTTGAATGATTGTGGGGCCTCATAACTGAATTTGGAAAAGCTTTCTTCTGGAAAATTGTAGATCTTGCCAAGCTGAAGAAAATGAAGTATTCAAACAAAAACATTGGATTAGGAGTGATAGAATTATAACCAACATACAAGAGATATCACTAAATATTAAAATACATAATTTTGGTGCAAACAAATATTTTTCTTTTGGATGATGTGTTGATATGCATATAACCGGGGATCACAAGGGCCCATCCATAGTTTAGGAGCCTGTGTCCACTATTACATTTGAGGGAGAAACATTATTTTCTCTTAATTATCCATTTTTGTATTTTTTTTACTTTCATTTTTATCATGTTGATTTGAATTTCTCTCCAATTTTATGAAGGTTAGTCTGAGTTGTATATATATTTGTTATTTGTTTGATGAGAAGACAAGTATTTTTCCTCCTAAAATCCACAATATGCTATTGCAATGAAATTGATAACAACTATATAAAGTAAATGACCTAATTAAATAGTGATTTGGAGCTTTTCACCAATTTTGATAATGGATTGACAAGTTAAATACGATAAACATTGTCATAATTTTGTACAGAGATTGGGAGCAACAAGATATCTTTGAGGAAACATGCTTTTTGTGCTACCATTATGATATTTTTATGAGTAAGAGAAATGAAAAAAAAAACTTTTGCCATTAATTCAACCCAAAGCTCACAATATTATGACTGATTAATTTTAATTAATGCAAAAGATTTTGAGTTATAATAAAGATATTTTTTTTAAAGTTGACACATGAATGTTCTATGGTGCAAACCAGACTTGAATAAATTTAGCTGCTGATAATGAAGATTGCTTCCACGAGTAGTCATTCAATGTGATTGTGATCTGCCTTGAAAGTCCATCCATGTGTTTTTCTACTCACGCTCAACAGATTCTTTACTTGGGGGGAAGAGAACACAGAGTAATAAAACTCTAAAAATTATTCTTCATTTCACGATTAAATGCGTAGCATTACAAGAGACCTCTTATTTATATGAATAAGAGGAAGATAACAAAATACACATTTTTCTCTAACTTCAAATCACTAAACTTTTATCTACTATCATCACCATAACCTATCATCATTATCAAATTACCATCATTATCATACTTGCAGTCATTATCACACCTATAATCACACCTTACATCATTACCATATATATCATCATTATCATACCACTACCAATCCTAAAAACCTAAAATATTTCAATGGGCTGTGTCATAAGAAACGGCTCAATATATATTCCCAAAGTTAAAACATTTTGAAGGCCAGACAATAATAGAAAGACTTGTACATAAAAACTAAAATTACGACACTCCATCATACATAAAAATACTCATATATAAACTCTTATTGGTACTAAGCTAGCTTTAAAATGCATCATGCATCATTAATCTTTTTGCTTATTTAGAATGAATGGTGTAATTAAAGCCTCCTCTTCGTGAAAATTTGATCAGATGTCCTACCCTTTGTAGGCTACTTTGCTTGAACTGTTCTTATTTGCTTTTCAAGTGCACTGAAAAGGAGGGCTTTGTACTTTGTAGATCTTTATTTTAGAGAGCGAGACTGGAATATTTTCTTACATCTGACACAAACTATCAAATGCTTAGAATAGTCTTTAATTTCGATACATTTTAGGATTTTTTTCAGTTAGTCCTATACTCAATCAGTTGAAACATAATGGCTACGAGGCTACGAGCCATGTATGGATTTTGTCCCCAAAAGGAGCTTGAAGATGAATAATAGCTTAAATTATTTCCCCAGAGTTTCCTTGGGTTGATAGTGGGCATGAGAGAGGGAGAAATACACCGTTACCATGCCCTCTTTGGGGGGGTTAATGATAGGGGTTGAAAAAAAAAAAAGAAAAGTTGGTAATTTTACAAAATGCCTGATTGATACATGAGTTGTTTTGCCTTAAAAGTTTCTTCTTGGACCAAACTATACCACAACTGTGGGAATTTTTGTCTTCTAGCTAATCAGATGGTGTAGAACCAAAAAACATCATATTTTAGATTCATGTTTACTTTTCATGTCCCTAATAATGATGGAAGTATCAATGGAGGCCTTAACCTCCAAGATTAGTGTTGACGGAGTCCTAAATTGAACAATCTGCTTTGTGTCAAAGAATTTAGGAGTAGCATCGAAGGTGTGAAATGAATGACTAGTTTTCTTTTAGAATATCAAGATAATCTTTTGATGGGATGTGCTTCATCATTTATGAATGGGGGATCAAAATGACTTTTTGAGACAGATTGTTGTCTTGATTGAACTTTACTGCACATGAATGAGTAAGAAACTTGACATTGTTGATCTCGCCATTAGAATTAATTACTAGAGAAATATTAGTAATGAAGATAAGAAACTAAAAGAAATATTAGTATAAATTCATACAATATCTGAAAGTTTGCATAACTATTAGATTTGCACGCATTAGGAATTTTAAATTTTAGATGGAGACAACTATCCTAAATTGCCAAATGGATAATGTACTGCTTTGACAATTTCTGAAGTGTTTAAATCTCAATTTTTCTAGTGGATCAATGGCATACTACTTCATGTGCTTGAGTACTTACCAGTTCCAAGTTCATTCCTCTTGATTGAATGGCCTGCAGAGACCAAATAGTGCTGTAATATTTCTAATATCTCAATTTAGAAACTAGAATTTCGCCATGTTATGTTAAAGACAACTTAATACATTTTTTATTTATTGTTTTTCCATTAAACCTTTTCTGATTTCTATTCTAATCATTAATTTGTTTTTCTCTCAGGCTATATTCTGTTATTGGGTGACATCAAACCTTTTCTCCCTGGTATATGGATTTGGTAATTAATTTATTCATTTCATTATGTTGACTCATTAAAGAAGTGTTTTTCACTTTTGAAAGTTATAATAATGATATTTTTTAATGTGATATGAAAGATTTGGATGGTATAAATATTAAAGATAAAAGCTAAAGTCTAGATGCTCGATATGGTAAATACATAAGCATTGGGTGGTTATTTTTCCTAATTATCCTTTGTTCTATATTTTCCTGTCTCCCTACTCCTGATAATACAACTGACATACAGTGCTCAAACGCCCTCCAGTAAGGAAGTACCTCAATCTTCCTGATGTGACTCAGATCAATCCAACTCCATCAACAGGGCCCAACTTCTTCTCCGGCGGATCGAAGCCGGCTCTTCCCATGGCCTCTTCAGTACAGGAAAAGGGATCTGACCAACCTAAATCTCCTGAGCGAAGGGTATCTTCATCAACGGTTATCAGCCAGCGCATTAGAAATCTGGAGAAGACGGTTAAATCCAGAAACAAACCCAACAAAAAAAGGTGAAAGTTTTATATTTTTAGAGAACAAAATTAAAATTTCTTTTTAGTGCTGTGCTTTAAATCCTCATATAAATTAGCTATTTATGGTGTTGTAATTTTATTTTTATTATTAAATTTTTTGGAAATTGGAATGCCACGTTGGTATTTGTAATAGATGGCATTTTTTTGTGCTTGCCATTGATGAAACCTGAGGTGGGTTTATTTGTAATACATAAAAAAAAACTTTTTTTTTTTTTTTATTTTGTAAATCATAAAAAAAAAACATTTTTTTTTTATTTTCTTTACTTTGTTTTTTGGTGTCAGAAGTAGATTTGTTTGGTTTCCATGAACAGGGAATTGAAGAAAAGGGGCATTTACGTACATACCCACCATATTCTTATGCATTCACATATCTAACACCTGAACATTACTTTTTACATTTATTAAAGCAGTTAAAAATTTATCCAAAATGAAGTTGAAACCTCTTTTCTGCAAATATACCATGTTCTAATACTCAATGTAAGATCTATTATATGTATCAATAAACGCATGGTACAAGAACAACTACAGAGAAGCCTGTAACTGAAAAGTTCTCTTTCCATTTTTATGCAGAGCATGGGAATATACACTAAATATTCTTGACATTAAGAAAATAACTGCTTAATTAGAATTATTTAATTACAATTCCATGTCTTAATAGGCATTATTACCATATTACGATTTTCTCTTTTAATGTAAGAAAAAACTATGAACTTTTTTCGTTTTTTTGGCCGAACGCTTGGTTTGATCTCGCCTAATCAAAACCAAACTGATCTATGAGTAGCAGCTAGTTTAGTTAATAGATGAGGGTGCATTTACATGGATACCATCCAATTTATGTATTTACATATTTAACACTTGTACCTTTCTTTCTTACTTTCATACCAGCAAAATATTCCATAACACAACAAAAATATCACTATTTTAACTTTTAAAAATGAAACACACCTTACATTAGTAATATGTTAGATATGTAAACCTTTCACACATGTATGTATATATATGATGTGATATCACCAACAGAATGGTCTCCTAAAATTAGAACAGGTATTCTAATGAAGATCAACACAGTGAAAGCAAAACCAAAACCTAGCCATCAAACAAAAAAACAACTTGAACAACCCAGCCACTAAATCTATTCTATAAAAATAACTATCATTACCTGTCAAATGAACCAGTCACTTCACTCAAAGTCATCATAGAATAACACAAACAGAGCATAAAATAAGTTAAAAAATATACAATCACAAACCATAACCAATGACTGTAACAAGACCCATACCATACAACATGTTGCTCGTCGCTCGTTGCCAGTTTTGAGAGCAATATCGACGGCCTTCACCCATAATACTTTCATCCAAGAAGCCGGCAACCCGACATCTTAAAGCTGGAACTGATTTACCTTCGTCCAGAGGTAAAATCACAGTAACTATCACACTCTTCTATTCGAGCCAGACTGTTCAAGCATTTATCTCAGAATTACATAGGTGTTCTCTATGGCAACTTCTTCTGCTCCAAAAAATCCCAGAGCAGCTCGTTCTTTCAAGCCTGTGATCATCGAATTTGTCCGATTCGCTTGCCAGGCTTTGTGAGCGATGTGGAGATTGTGCCTGAGCGCTGCTGTCCTCTTGAGGTTCGAGAGTTGGGCACAGGTTGTCATCACAGTAGCAGGTCGGGATGGCGACGGAAGGGAATGGGGAGCAAGTGAGTGGACAGATGAGCTCCGAAGCCATTTCACGGTTCTTACAGAACTCGGATCTACAAGGTGTGGTGGGGGGCTCTGTGGCTCGAGGATGAAGAATGCAGGGGTTGCAGAAGCTGAGAGATGGTGTTGATTTGAGATCCTTTATTGGGCTGCTGTGAAGTCTGCTGAAAGAGACGATTCCGCTGCGGCATAGAGGACATGGAATTGATCCTGGAGGGCCTAAGGTTTCTGAGGTGTAGCAGCTGGTTGAGCAGAGGTAAAGAGCGCACTTGACACACAACCCATGTGAGCAACCTGGAAAGTTGGAGATGTGAAAGGAAGTTTTGAGAGATTGGCTTGCGACTCATTTACCCTAAGCAGTGCGGCATTGTGATACTGATAACTAAACCAAGAATAAAAAAAACTGCTAAATTCTAGTTCTGCAACAATGTAACTGGTATTGAATAGATCTCACTTGAAGCTCAGCAGAATAACTTAATTTATCAATCATATGTTAGTTCAGACAAAAAGCATCTCAGACCTTTTTCCTAATTTCAGCACTTCAGATATGATCTCACTATTGAAAATTTATGAGTAAAAAACAAATTGCCAATGCAAGACAAGATTATTGTTAAATCCGCTTAAAAAATCAAGGAGCTGTTTGATAGCAGGATTTGAGCAGGATTTATGAGAATATAACATAAATACTATCAAACAGAAAAAGTGAACTTTAAATCCCATTTCTTGTCCCTTTCTCCTTAAAACTAGATTTTGTAAATTCCGAAGGAAGGGATTTACTCAAAATGAAGCGCAGAAGGTGGAGGTATGGACGAGGATTACCTGATTTCAGGACATGGCAGAGCGAAAGGGGAGAAATGCATGAGTTTCAGAGGTCTTCATGCACCACAATCCTGTCATTGACTTCCTAGCTATCTCTAGTCCCAACTTTGTCGCAAGAAATTCGGGTAAGAGAGGGAAAGGGAAAGGTTGTTGGTTTCTGGCAGAAGAGGGAAAGGGAGAGGGAGAGGGATGGTGGAGGGAAAGCTGGGCAAGGGTTTTAATATTATATAATTTAAGTTATTTTAATTAATTTAATTAATTATTAATCATTAGTAAATTAGCATGTTAAACAATGGTGATTATAATTTAATTAATCTAATTATAATTAATATCACAATCCTGTCATTGACTTCCTAGCTATCTCGTCCCAACTTTGTCGCAAGAAATTCGGGTAAGGGAGGGGAAAGGGAAAGGTTGTTGGTTTCTGGCAGAAGAGGGAAAGGGAGAGGGAGAGGGATGGTGGCGGGAAAGCTGGGCAAGGGTTTTAATATTATATAATTTAAGTTATTTTAATTAATTTAATTAATTATTAATCATTAGTAAATTAGCATGTTAAACAATGGTGATTATAATTTAATTAATCTAATTATAATTAATATCACAATCCTGTCATTGACTTCCTAGCTATCTCGTCCCAACTTTGTCGCAAGAAATTCGGGTAAGGGAGGGGAAAGGGAAAGGTTGTTGGTTTCTGGCAGGAGTGGGAAAGAGAGAGGGAGAGGGATGGGGGAGGGAAAGTTGGGCAAGGGTTTTAATATTATATAATTAAGTTATTTTAATTAATTTAATTAATTATTAATTATTAGTAAATCAGCATGTTAAACAATGGTGATTATAATTTAATTAATCTAATTATAATTAATATAGTCTTGATAATTAACAAATTCATGATTACTTAATAAAAATTAAATTATGGATTAATCTTTATTAATTAGTTAACTTAGTTGAATAGTAATTAGTTTAATAAAATTCTACTTAATGATTAGTTAACTTAGTAGCTAAATTATTAATAATTAATTAATGAATATTAAATATTGATTAATGATTAATTACATTAAAACAATTCTTATTAATAATTACTTATTTTAATAATTAGTTAATTACTGATAAACAGAAGTAGAAATAATAAAAAAATTAATTTAATTTAAGCAATCCTAACAATTACATCATTAATATGCAATATTAGGTTCATATTTAAATTAACAAACTTAAATCCTAAAATAATATGCCAAACAATTTAATAGGATTTAACCAAATTTAATATCCTTTATAACAAATAGTTTTCAGGATTTAATCACCACACAATTTATTAAACCTGGATTTGCAGGATTTACTAAATCCTACTTGCAACCAAACAACCCCAAGTTCCTTAATAGCAACAAAAAAAGAACTACTTGAGGTATCAGAATGCATGAGACTGACCTTCAGCAACAACATTGCAGGATCTCTCTAGGCAAACAGGGCAAAGATCAGTATCATCACAAACGGTCATAGATTGCAAACCCCACTCTCTGCAAAGACAACGTACTGGCCATCATTAGAAGAGCTACCAACATAAAAATTGCAAATATGTACTAAAAGGATTATTATGTAATAGAATATAGCATCAACTGTCCATATTGCATACTAAAGAAACACATGATGCTACCAAGCTACCGTCAGTGACATCTTATGATAACATAAGAAGCTACTCACATGAAGTACAATAAAAATACTTTTGATAAATCAGGAATGGCAGTCTCACGTAAAATAAGATTGAAAAATAAATAGACCCACAACATTACTGTCAGAAATTTGTGAGCCTATAATGACAGTGTCAGATGCAGTAGGAAAAGATTAATTCTAAGAATGATTCGACCGTTGTATATCTCACAGAGAAAGGAATGATAAAATAAAACATAATTTACAAAACATTATAAGCGAGCAAAGCATATTTACACAGCCAGGAATATTTAGCGAACTATGATCACATAGTACTACTAATATTTATATTTCACAGAAACTTGTATCACTGAGCGTCCATATTTGAAATAAAACCCCACCAACTATTACATATATTAAATTTCCTTGAGTTTCTCATCCTGAACATTTTATGGGCAGCTTTTAATCAAAAAAGATATCTGAAAAATTAATATAGCGAGAAGCATTTTTATAAAAATAATAATGCATAAACATTAAGGTGTACCCACCACCACATGAGGTACTTACAAATGCGGAGTCTAGAGTAAGATTGAAGTACACAACCTTAACACTGCATTATAAAGAATTATTTATGTGATCTGAACCCAAGGCCTCTCGCCCAAAAGGGAGGTAATTTATTCATTACTCCAAACACACTAAAAAAAATGCTTTATACAGGGAGCAACATACACCACATTAAGGACATATAGTAGGACAACTTTCAAATTTTTAGTAAAAAACAAATAGCATCATGTTAGAATATGATTCTTATCACAAAATCATTATTTGGAGTATATATTTAGCATTCATTCACCTTTAATTACATTTATTATCTCATTTATTTTCTTCATATTGTATTCATCTTGAAATGAAACAAAATTCAATTTTCTTCCCACAATATGGTATCAAACTCTCCACCATAATAATCCTTAGCATACTCATTTTGGTTTTTAGCCCGACTACATACTCCATAATCATGCCTTGCTTGTCGCAATCTCGCTCCACATGCACCATAAATTCGTAATTTGCCACATTGCCGATCTCATGTGATCTCGCATCCACACACACTCCTTGCAACAATCTCATATTAAACCATTAATCAACTACAATTTTGTAGGGGGAAGCTGTAACTTTTTTTTAAAAAGTAGTTGTAAAGCTGATGAAGAGAACAACTTATTAGAAAATTACGTTGGGAATTATAAATATATATTTTTCCAAAAAATCAAAGTCATCGCATTTTAACATGTCAGGTTGAAAAAAACAACTTACCACAACAAAAATTTCTAGAAGACACAAGAAAGCTATCCCAAACAGAACCTTAGTCTCTTTACAATCTCGTGCTATAATGTTTGTTGTGACTCCCAGTAACTCTGCATGCTTTTTATCAGTGTCCTACTATTATCGTGCTTTTTGGCTAATATTATACACTCACAAACCACCGCATTGTTGTGCTATCATGCTCATACCCTAAGTCGTGTGCTATTCGCACTCTCACATGCACCCTTTTACCTGTATGTTTGTTATCCCACTCAATGAAATAGGAACCCTTCTTCTTCATGCCTCCTACCCTAGCCAACGCCTGCACCCAATCTTGTAACCTGTTGATGTTACATAAGTTGAGCTTGAAATCCCCATGTTCATGATGAGTTTCTCTTTCTCTATCTCCTCGTGGTATCATAAGTTTTATCTCCTCTTCCTAAGACAATTGTTCTATAACCTTAGTGCCAACATCAAATGTAATAGTGATTATCTTCATAAAAATCTCCTTATACTATTGTTGCATTGCAATGACCCTGATCAGTCTCTTGAATGGTATTAAAAAAAACATGGTTAACCGATGACCATTCAACCAACATGCATCCATAGGTAACATTGGGTTATTACTTGCAAGATATTATGATCCCCTTACCAAACGATTGTACTCTTCGGCTAATGTCACTTTTATGAGGTTACCTCTTTCTTTCCTACCAACATTTAAGAATAATCGCCACATATTCCTCTTCCTCCTATTGCACTTTGCTTCTTGCCTCTACTCTACAGATATCCTCCAGAAGATCTTGACCATTTTCTCCTACAACGCCTCTTATCATCCATACTTTTATTGATGATCCTAAGGAGATTGCACCCTAGGATTAACACCTTATTGCATTGTCTTATTGCACGAGGTAAATGACAACCTACTTACCATCCATTTAAATCCTTTATGAACATTGACAATTTATCCCCGTTCTCTCAGTATTTTGCCATATCTTTGTTTGACGTCAACATTCTCAGGACATGTCTAGAAGTGCTATATCATTCTCTATGGAAACAAGTCATGAAGGTTCAGATAAATGAGCTTCATCATTGACAAACATGGGAAACGGTTGCCCATATCTTTGGGGACAAGTGAATCGCTTGTTGGGTCTTCACTATCACGTTTAATCTTGATTGTTTCATTGCTTAGCACAAAGCTCAGCTAGTTACAAAAGACTTTATTCAATAACTTATATCAAGTTGTTAGACTTAATTCTCAAATTCTAACCTGTGTCCATTAATTGGGGCAGGCATATGGTATAAATGGATGTTAGTAATGCCTTCTTATATCCTATGATGTTCCTATAAAATTTGGCCTTTTAAGTAATATCGCTGATCATTCTATACTTGTTAAGCATAAAACATATTCAATTGTGCTAATCATTCATGTAGATGATCTATTACATATTAGCAGTAATAAAAAAGCCATATCTAAATAAATCACTATTCATATAATATTTTGTAAAGAAAGATCTAATGCGCCATAAATATTTTCTTGGGATTGAATTTCATCACAACAAGAAATGGATCTCTATCTCAAACCTTGCAGAAATTGGACTGGAGTTTTAGGGTGCAAATCAGCTCACAGATAACCAAAGCACACATTACTATGCAATGAAGATTAGTTCATGTTTAATTCATTTGATAATTGCGAGCAAAATATATCTATTGTTGGGGGTCAAAAGTTAATATATATATATATATATACATATATGTATATGTACATATATATATACATATATATATATATA